CAGGTTTCTTCCTGTTAAAAGGGAGTTTTTCCTTCCCACTGTCGCCAAAGTGCTGCTCATAGGGGGTCATATGATTGTTGGGTTTTTCTCTGTATGCATAATTGTAGGATTTACTGCACCTTCAGGCGACTGCTGTGATTTGGTGCTGTATGAATGACATTGAATAGAATCACTCCATTTCTACATGGATTCATTGAATGTTAACATATATTGGACAGCCATATTCAAATGTCTGTGATAGGCCAGTATCTACCAATAGCATCACCAGCAACCTTCAGCTGTAATGGGAATATCACCTGACTGTTTCAAACCAATCAGAGCATATTAATCGATTTTACCTACAGATGATCAGAGAGCAGTGCAGACTGCCTGCTCTCATGCATATTTAATGTTTAGTTGGTGTCTGAGAGTTCTTATCCTGCTGCCTACATCCCATAAATCCCCTCAGTCCCACGAGGCTTCTGTTGTGCTACTTCCACATCCGATGGATTCTCCGACTGGATTTGGGCCGAGACAAACTTCCCAAGGAGCCAGCCTCACCGTTAGCATTTACAGAAGCGATATGGTGACACCTTCATCGTGTCCGTCGTTATCAGAATGTCAGCCACGTAAACCGAATCCTCTTCCTCTGAGCAGAATTAACCGTCTCGGTGCATTTAATATGGATTTGAACACACTTGCCCTCAGGACATGTTTCTTCAGCGTCAGTGCGAATGCAGATCACTGTTTACAGATCACACTCGGCTCGGCCCCTCTGGGTGGGAGCAGGTTTTGGCTCCCACTCTTCGTCTCCACACCAGTGTCCACAGGCTACGCGGCTGCACAGCATGCTAACATGTGGCATTTTGCCTGTTTCACAGATTTCGATGCCCTTTTTCTCCTCCTAGTATTCTGTAAATGTCCACAGATCCCCACCCTCCACTGACTTTATCTCCTCTTTACTTGTAATCAGCACTCAGTGCTGTTCTGTAATCATTGAAGTGCTTTGAAAACACGGCCAAAGTGCTTCAATGAGCTGGGTCACAGTGACAGCCAGGCAAGCACTATCCTGCAC